ATTTGCACCTAGTGTGGAAAAAAGTATTGCCTCAGAATTTTTTTTATAAACTTTGAAAGTTAGGGTAGGGTAGGGTGCCGGACCCCAACTTTGGATGAATTTTAGAAAAAATCCGTGCTATACCCCACCTGGATTTTTCAGTCAAGCATGCCTAAGGGTCCCAACTTTCATTTGCACCTAGTGTGGAAAAAAGTATTGCCTCAGAATTTTTTTTATAAACTTTGAAAGTTAGGGTAGGGTAGGGTGCCGGACCCCAACTTTGGATGAATTTTAGAAAAAATCCGTGCTATACCCCACCTGGATTTTTCAGTCAAGCATGCCTAAGGGTCCCAACTTTCATTTGCACCTAGTGTGGAAAAAAGTATTGCCTCAGAATTTTTTTTATAAACTTTGAAAGTTAGGGTAGGGTAGGGTGCCGGACCCCAACTTTGGATGAATTTTAGAAAAAATCCGTGCTATACCCCACCTGGATTTTTCAGTCAAGCATGCCTAAGGGTCCCAACTTTCATTTGCACCTAGTGTGGAAAAAAGTATTGCCTCAGAATTTTTTTTATAAACTTTGAAAGTTAGGGTAGGGTAGGGTGCCGGACCCCAACTTTGGATGAATTTTAGAAAAAATCCGTGCTATACCCCACCTGGATTTTTCAGTCAAGCATGCCTAAGGGTCCCAACTTTCATTTGCACCTAGTGTGGAAAAAAGTATTGCCTCAGAATTTTTTTTATAAACTTTGAAAGTTAGGGTAGGGTAGGGTGCCGGACCCCAACTTTGGATGAATTTTAGAAAAAATCCGTGCTATACCCCACCTGGATTTTTCAGTCAAGCATGCCTAAGGGTCCCAACTTTCATTTGCACCTAGTGTGGAAAAAAGTATTGCCTCAGAATTTTTTTTATAAACTTTGAAAGTTAGGGTAGGGTAGGGTGCCGGACCCCAACTTTGGATGAATTTTAGAAAAAATCCGTGCTATACCCCACCTGGATTTTTCAGTCAAGCATGCCTAAGGGTCCCAACTTTCATTTGCACCTAGTGTGGAAAAAAGTATTGCCTCAGAATTTTTTTTATAAACTTTGAAAGTTAGGGTAGGGTAGGGTGCCGGACCCCAACTTTGGATGAATTTTAGAAAAAATCCGTGCTATACCCCACCTGGATTTTTCAGTCAAGCATGCCTAAGGGTCCCAACTTTCATTTGCACCTAGTGTGGAAAAAAGTATTGCCTCAGAATTTTTTTTATAAACTTTGAAAGTTAGGGTAGGGTAGGGTGCCGGACCCCAACTTTGGATGAATTTTAAAAAAAATCCGTGCTATACCCCACCTGGATTTTTCAGTCAAGCATGCCTAAGGGTCCCAACTTTCATTTGCACCTAGTGTGGAAAAAAGTATTGCCTCAGAATTTTTTTTATAAACTTTGAAAGTTAGGGTAGGGTAGGGTGCCGGACCCCAACTTTGGATGAATTTTAAAAAAAATCCGTGCTATAACCCACCTGGATTTTTCAGTCAAGCATGCCTAAGGGTCCCAACTTTCATTTGCACCTAGTGGCGAAAAAAGTATTGCCGTAGGAGATTTTTTATTAACTTTTAAAGTTAGGGTGGGGTAGGGTGTCGGACCATAACTTTGGACC